CCATTAAGCCAGGAGCCCATTGTCTTGCCGGGTTAGACCGGGAGATATTGGCCCTCGTTGATTAACATTCACCGATAGCTAACGGAACTCACTCTTCCCGTCTGCCTGGGGGGCTCACTCTCGAGCCCCGCTAGCAGCCGCACAGTGGCTAATATTCATAGGCAGATAGCATTGCCGGCAAAGATAAGGCTGTCTGGAATAGCTATTTCCGGCTTATTAGTGGTCAACAGCTAGCCACACCCCAACCGGAGTTGCTGGTGGGGCTCGAGAGCGAGCCCTAAGGCCCAACGGGACGAGTGAGTCCTACAACCGATCAGTGAGTGCCATCTACAATTGCGTTTATTCCCAATCAAACCCAGCAGGACGCAGTAATTAGAGCGTTGGACTTCTAGCTAACATGGTCGCAAGTTTGAACCTCGGAGGTCTCGACACCCAGGATTGGGTATGGCCGTCTGATGATGCCTAATAAACCAGAAATGACCATTCCATCCTTCCTCTTCTTTGTGGCAGATGAACGTTCGGGTGCCACAACACCTGAGGCGAGGTATGCCTGGCTGATGACGGTTCGATATTCCTGCCTGCATAGCTATGTAGATATGTTTAGCAGCTAACCCGTGGGTCAGAACGCAACAGATGAACTTGTGGTAATGCCGTCGGGTAGAACCTTTGACTTCCGGCGTTTGATTTGAGTGTCACCAGCGGCAGCTGAATTCGACCAAAAATAATTCTCGACTAAACAAGTATGAAAAAGGACATGAACACACTTCTTAGTTCCCAGCAAACCTTCATATGTTGCCAGGTGTAGTCTGTCTTTTTATCATGGGAATTTGAGAAAAAATAACCCAAGTATATAAGAACCCAAATCTCAAAATGGGGTGGGGAAAACGGGATCCGAGGGCTGAGTCAGTCGATATCAGTTGCGTCTAAGTCTGTTTATGTTCAGGGCTTGAATCGTCTCCATGATTAATTGTTCCAGCAAGCCTTGTTTCAAACTCGGTGATGTTTTCATTGGCCTCGCTGCAAACTGCCTCAGAGGGACGGTTCGGGCACCTTGTTTCCTCCTTAGATCAGTGGATATGCTGTTCTCCGCCGTCTGCGTCTGAGAATCCCTTGTTTTGACCTCTACGACATGGCGGCATTCCATTTCATCTAGAGGCTCAGACACCGTAGTCGTCGAGATAGTGGTATTAACGGGTGTGAATCCGGGTACGTGATCCCGAGGCACATAACAATCACTCAGGGTCACAGTGGGTATCATATTTTTGATGACCAGACTACCACCCCGTCTCAAAACGTCATCCAGATCGATTTTCCTGCTGATCTCGGAATGACCACGAAAGAGCAATCCTTCAATGTCTTCACCCTCAGTAGGCTGCATCGTCGTCGTATGTACTGAGGTTGTCGCACCAATCACCCTGCTGGAGTTTGGCTCCTCTGCAGGTAATGTGTCGGAATTAATCTGTCTGAAGTTGTCGGGCGGGTTCGGTCGAGTTGACGGCACTTCAATGCGAACAGTCACTGGGACGGGCGTCCTGCTCCCCTCTCCGCTCATTTCCAAAATTTCGGTTGAAATTATACTGTCATCTAAGGTAGATGTCTCCACAGGAACGTAGTCTTCATTTGAGATAACGAGTCGAGGAGGTATAGGCCGATACGTGTCACCCATCGATTTGAAAACTACGGTTGTGCCTGTCTCCGAACTCGCCGAATCGTCATCCTCTACTAAACTGCTGGCCCCACACTTTGGCTTTTCACATGCTCTCGAAAATTTGCTCCATGAATTCCCGGAGAGGTCAGCGTTCTGAGGGTTGGATTTTCCTCCATCTGATTGATTTGTCACTCCCATTTGTGCCATTTCACGTCTGAATCTGGCCAAGCCACAGAATCCTCCGTTTCCCGAGGGCCTTGCTCTTCTGGCCGCCGACCATTTGTCCACCAGTCACGAACAGTCGCACACCATGTCAAGACGACCTTGTCTCAAAACAGCTGATTGGTTAACTAGTCACTGATGCAGACAATCGATTGACGCGTCTCGCGGTTTTTTCTAAATAATACTGTGTAACGAAACTCGGTTTTTAATGTTGGTTTTTACGTTTATTCCTTTTATT